GATTCTGGTTCCTGAAAAAGATTCTGGTTCCTGAAAAAGATTCTGGTTCCTGAAAAAAGTTCCTGCGGTGTGAAAGCACCTGATCAGAAACCGAGGCCAGTTACGCAAGTTACACTCTAGAATCAGACAAAGTATACATGTTTTTTTCTAAAGTACTATTCCTCATCTTTAGGTTCACTAGTAAAGCAAAAGAAAAGTTCTGCATCCACTCACCCAGATACTTGACCACAGCCTCTAAGGGCTTCCGCTCGATCGGCTTTGACGGCAGCGGACTCTTGACGATATCTGGAAGTCGCACCACACCTGCCATCCGGGGAACAGCATGACATCTGCTTGACTACAGAGCCTCCCTGCGGCAGGCGTACGGCCACTCAATGTCACATGAGAATCGCGGCAGGCGTACGGCCACCCAATGTCACATGAGAATCGCGGCAGGCGTAAGGCCTTGCTGCCTTTACATGTCAACAAGGACGCAGGCTGCTCACACTCTGCCCTGATGGCGGCGCTGTTGACGGGTGCGTGCGGGACGCGGGCGAGGTGTCTGGGCCGTAGCAGGTCCCGGCAGGTCCTCCTGGCGGACCGGGTCAGCTGAGACGCGTGCAGGTAGAAGGCCTGCCTGGTTTTGGCTGCGAACCTGGGGTTTGAACCATGTCTCACAGACTGCCCGTGAGTCCCCTGAATGGGAGTTAGGGGGAACAGGGTTACTCAGGAGAAGGAGACTGTCTGAAGGGGGGGGGGGGCCTGGGAAAGGAAGCCAGACATCACTACAGATGTGACCTACTGAGCTGCTGCGGTTGGGTCCCGGCCGCTCGCCATCCAGCCGCGTAGGCATCTTCAGCCCGCCATACTTCTTCCAGTACGTCCAGCAGGGGGCACACAAGCGACACTGCATGAGAGGTGGACCCCACGAGTACCACTGGTGCGAGGCTGTGGCTGCAGAGAGATGGGCGGTAGGCAGGTGGGTGAGTCACTTGACGGGAGAGTCCCTTGACCCGTGCGAACACCCAGAGTAGTCAGGCAAATAGAGCCCCATGCCCCCCCCCCCCCCCGCTGGACGCACTGTAGCAGCTTTCGCAGCCCCGGCCTGCTCCTGCCGCCTGGCCTGCCGAGCCCGGAGTTGCTCCGGCACCATTCACCAAGCCCTGCTTCACACCGTCAAGACTTAGCTGGTTTGGGTTGGGCTTGTTGCTAGGAGTAACAAAACCAGGTGTAAGGGTGGGAGACAGAAGAGGACCTACCCCCTGAAGCTCCAGCACCCCTTTCCCACGAGCGTCCTCTGGGAACTCCCTTGGTATCCCCCTGACCATAAACATCCTACTGGAATCTCTCTGGTGGCCCCCCCGCCACCCCCCCGCCGTCCTGCCAGCACTCACTAGTTGGGGATGTAGACCTGCTTTAGCTTGCTCTCCGCTTCAGCTGCCTTCAGCCGTTTCTGCGATAATATGGACAGAAAGACGGCAGTGGGGTCAGACCGCAGGGCTGAGAAGAGACGAGACATGAGTCTGCAGAACGGAGTAGTGTCTATATCAAAAGGTGACATGTGAAGCAGGGCAGGTGTGTCAAAGGGTCACTTCGACCGGCTGAAAAAGCTTTGTCAGATAGCGATCAGATATTTACTAGATATAGGTCAGGCAATGACTATAATTAACAGATATCCATAATTAAATGCCTGTTACATATCTGTTCACACAGCGTAAGACATTTCCTATGCTTGTTTACACTTACCAACATGCTTCCAGAAAGTGCAAAGGAAATGTGCGTGGTTTCGCCCACTTCACCACATTCTCTTCCAGGTGACTTTTGGCACACCCACTAACCCTTCAAAATGCCCACAAACCTCTCAACACACTCATCCCGCTTTTGATACGCCCACTACTCTAGCCTGCAGAGAATTATATTTCGAGAAGCTGGCCAGCGCAAGGAAGATGGAGTGAGACAAGGTGGTGGAACGGAGAGGTGGGATGGCAGCCTCACCTGCTGCACATATCTGTCCGTCGTCTTCCACATGTAGTAATACTCGATTATGCTGGTTAGAGACTTCCAAGGAAGCTGTGGCAGGGAGAGCATTAGGGTCAGTGACTGGTGGCAGCGGAGGAGGGGGGGGTGTGCAGGGCAGCCTAGGAGCACAGCTGTACACAGGCGAGAGCTCAAAGTAATTACATTCCATGGAAACAAGAAATACAGGTTCCTACTTGCCTCAGTCATTCTCAATCCCTTTATGTCAGTAAGCCTCATCAATCAGTCCAGCAAAAACCAACAAGACTGATCAAAGCACGTCACTCCCTAAGGGTCATGCTGTGCTCCTCTCGCTACTTCACCCATATCCCAGCATGCACCTAACCAAGCCAGGCACAGCGTGGCTGTTGTTACCACATACAGTGGCATCAGGGGCATATAGAGGGGTGGGACCACAGGGGACCCCAGGTGAAAGCTGATTAACCCCTATTATGTTCAAAACATATCATTTCTTAGACCCGGTGAACAAATTATGGCCTCTCTTATGACCCCACCCGAAAATATCCGAGAATCACCCGCTGATTGGTGTCTCTCTCATACCCCCCCACGGTCACTCACAAAGTCCTGCTGGATGTCGCTGAAGTCCTTGCCGTACTTCTCCAGTGCCTCCTCAAACAGGCCAGCCTCAGAGGCGCTCCACTCCTCCATCTCGTCGCGGCACAGTACCGGGCCGCCGTGGGGCACCAGGGCGGCAATGGCCCGGGACATGTCGTAGCCCGCCTTGTGCAGCGTGTCCATAGCATGGAACTGGAGGGTGGATCACAGTATCACCGATGGCACTCGTGGGCTCCGCTACCCTCTCACAGCTTGGAAAATTCCAGACGGGAGAACTAGTGAGTCTGCTGTGCACCGCACAAACGTGTGGGACGGATCCCTGCCCACAGCACACCCTGCCTTGTTGCCTGTGTCTCCCGGGACATCCTGACTGTCCCCAAGACCGACATGCAGGTCAAAATGGCCCCTCTGATAGAGGACAGCCCCTTTACCTTAGAAACAAACCCACAGGTACTGGATACAGCAGCTGGTGACCCCAGAGGAACAGCTAAAGGGAAACTGGGGAAGTGGACCTCCTTGTGGCAAGCCCCAAGTGGCAGCTCACCAGAGTGATGTCCCGCGAGGCCGCGGCGGCACTCATGTGCAGGCTGGGCTGGCGGACCGAGCTGCTGCAATCGAGGGCGCGGGCGAAGGTCCCCACCGAGCTGCGGAGCAAAGCTTCGGCTCACTTTTTCAGACAGCATCACTTAGAGTGACAGAAACCTCACAGCCCTCCGCGAGGCATGCCCTCACCGAGCCACCACCAGGAACTGGTCGATCTGCTTCTCCGTCAGAGGGCTGCTGGGATCCCACACCTTATCCTCCAACCTGGACTGGTCCCGTTCACCATCCTCCCCTACAGGGAAATGGTCCATCGTCAACACCTAAAGGACCCTCATGTTCAGATGGAGATGTCACAGGGTGCTGCTTTTACTCGCCAAAGCTCTTAATTCCATTAGTACAGTGTTTCCCAATGCGGTTCTCAAGGACCCACAGACAGTCCACGTTTTTGCTCCCTCTCAGCTCCCGAAAATGTGTTCTGTTTGGCAGGGAGCTGAAAGCGAGCAAAAACGTGGACACTGCATTAGTGAATGGATAGTAAGCCACCCTGCATGATGGTGCGGTATCTCAACTGGTTAGGAATCTGCATTGCTTGTGGGTTCAAATCCCTTATTATAACAGATAATCATGTCCCCATATCACATAACCAGTATCTGCACTTAGGACCCACATTCGCTCATCTTTCCAAAAACCAGCAAGTCTGTGCCACTCCTCCACAACTACCGTGTGATTATCCTGCTCTACCATTTGAGTTTATTCAGAATCTGGTGAACAGGCCGACGGCTCTGACCTTCTCCTGGTGAGTCGGCAACATCGGCCTGGTACTTGCTCCCGACCCGGATCTCGCCCTTGTCTGCCAGTAGCGTCTTCTGCTGAGGGTCGTACACCAGCGAGTAGAAAAAGCAGTCCTGCCGGGGGTGGGGGGGCAAAGCAGCAATACTGTCACACATCCTGTACTGACAGCACACACATGCAGCACATTGATAGAAGGTGGTTAAGCAAAGTCTAATAACATGAAGTCTGTCCGTTTTGCCAAAGGACAATTTAGCCTGCTAACTCAACTACTCCAGTAACTACATAAAGCTTCATTCAAAGCCTTCTTTTGGGAAAAAGTAACTCGGCATCCGCATGTTATTTTTATAGCTACCATCCAAAAGCAAAAATATTTACATTTGTTTGACTTTGAAAAAGGCAAAGAGTGCACATTGCAGTAGAACCTGCACATAAACCGTTAACCCTTAAAGCCCGCCCAGGCTGTCCTCTGTCTGTCACTGTTTCCTGTCTGTCCCCCATGTTCCTGTGACCCTGACACAGCATTCCATGCAGTTCGCCTCTCCCTGTCTAAACAGCCTGCAAGATAACCACACAGGACACAGAGCACATGTGGGTCTCAGGAACAAAATGCTTATACAGCTGCAGACAGCACCCAGCCCACACAGAGAGCAGGAACACCACCATGATGATGATGGCAGGAGGGCCATGCTTACCTCCCGGTCCAGGTAGGACGCCAGGGCCTCAGTCTCGTTCAGCAGGGTAACGCAGCACTTCCCTCTGAGGATCACCAAATACAAGTTAACAACTGGCAGACTCAACCAATCAGAGACAAGGGCCACATGCTGAGGTGTGGGCTATTTACAGACAAGGTGATGCTGGGCATACAGGAACAGAACGTCACCCAATGTGACATTGGGGCTGCTGTGTATGAGGCATCTGACTTGTGACCCAGGGCCACCACGTACGGGTCACCTGACGTGGGTGACAGGGTTCTGGCATGTACGAGTCACCTGATGTGGGTGGCAGGTAAGGATTCCAGCTGGCGGGACAGGAAGAGCTCTCTGTGCCTGAGCTGGTGCTTCTGCTTCTCTGACAGCTCGACCATCTCTGGGTTCTCCATCTCCTCCTCCAGCTCCCCTATTGGACGTCACACACCCACGTCATCACCTTTGGTGTGCTCAGCTTTGTCTACTAAACATGCCGAGCAGATGCATGCTAGTGGATGTCTATTCCCTACATGCGGCAGTAAGATGGCAGCCCAACATGAAGGCTTAAGTGAGGCAGGCCTGAATGCTGTGGGCCCTCCCTAAAGAACACATGCAGCTGCAGCAGTCTGCAACATGTCAGCTCTGTGGTCAAAGGCATGCACTCAAAACCGCCTACTGCCCCCCACCCCCAACTCCTCTGCATCTCTCGCATCTGTGTTCTTTCTTTTTCTAAAGAACTTTTCATCATAAGAGAGAAGCAAAGGGTGGGTGGGGCACTTGGGTGCATGCCAGGCTGGGTTTTACACATTACTTAGACAAAATTGGTCATAATCAGCCTTTTTTACAGCCTTCGAAATCACCAGGTCTCAGGGAGGACGAACATGTATGTATGTGTGTGTGTGTGTGTGTGTGTGTGTGTGTGTGAGAGAGAGAAAGAGAGGGACAGAGAGAGAGGGAGAGCAAAAGCAAAGCCTGATTGATGTTCTCTATTCCCACGTCATTATAGTAATTCATCATGGTACAATCAGGAATCTCAATAAAAGGTCTTCAAAATCAATTATACTGCAGTCCTCTCACTCGACTTGACGCCTTTGATCACGCATGAACATGCTGCTGCAAAAACCTACAGCCATTCTACTTCTATCCATAACCTGACTCACTGACTAGTAACAGGGACCGTGTGGTTTTCTTTAGAATATCGGATTCCCATACGATGCAGTAACCCTTCCTCACTTTTAAAGTGGTGCCACTACAATGGATAAGGCTCCTCCTTTTCCAGTAACAGCCCCTCCTCCTCCAGCATTTTGCCTCAGCCCTACGCTAAGATCAGGGACAGCTACAGATGGAAGGAGTCAACATTTTGACCAAGGGACATATTTCAATTACGAATCACAACCCAACCACAAGTGAAGAACTGCAAGCCAAACTGCTGAAATCGGGGAAGACCAACATCACAACTCCAGTAGGTCAGAGGCTAAGATGCCGATGCACTCTTTTGAGTGCTTTACATGTGCTAACAGTTCTCCACAAGATCATGTGCTTTAGCATGCATGGAAAACATAATCAAAGGAGCTTTCACAATCATAGACTCGGTAGCTTGCCGGTAGGCTCTCAAGAAAACAGGCAACATCTGGCCACCCCCAACATGAACTCCTCACAGCTTTTAAAAAGCCAGAAGAACCAACAAGACAGAGACACCTGAAGTGTGAGCTCCTTAGGAAGCCAGGATTCACTGCACATGAACACACCATAGAAAGGCCAGACAGCTACAGTTGAGCCTTTCCTCACTGGTACTTCAACAGCTTAATCCCCAACAGGAGGTGACAGTACAAACCCAAGAGGGTTCAGGATACATTTTAATTAGGGCTTAATCTACCCGTGAAACACCAAGTGAGGAAATCGTTTATTCAGCCCTGCTCCACACGAACACACTTTACTGGGGCATACCAGTATTATGTCAGTGCAAATGTTGGAAATGACTGCTCAAACATCTTCCAGCCTTGGTAGATCAGACTTGTTTTTTTTTGTTCTGCACTGCAGAGCATCAAGTACCGAGGTACCAAAGTAACACAAACTATCCTTGTGCACAGCACCTCAACAGCTCCACTTAAGACACCCAGTTGAATAACTGGATGAAAATGTAGCTGAGTACAAACATCAGCTCTGCATCTCGACGTGGCTGATAGTCGAGTTGTGGCTCCAGGAGGCACATAGAGAGTCACAGCGCCGAGGGCACGAAAATAAACATCAGACACATTTGTGCAGCCTGCTTTTAACACTTCTCAAGCACCAGTGTGAACAGACCAAGACAGCAACAAAGAACCCAGAGCCCTTCACCCCACACACCAGGATATGAACCGCTATAGTGCTGTTTGCTTATTCAGTCTAACAGGGGAAAGGCTAAAAATTTCTTGACGGTAATCAACAGTAACTTCAATAGCGGAAATCAGAAACTACAAAAAGATCTTATTAATACACATACAATAAACATCACTGTTATAGCACTGAGCTAAAGAAAGCTGTCTAAGAACACTGTGTGTGTGTGTGTGGGGGGGGGGGGGGGGGGGGTGGCTCGCTGCTTTAGGCTTTTCCTGAACTGTTCTTTTTTACACAGCCCTGTGCTGCCCCAGTTAGCACACCATCACCTTCCTGTACCTCTCTAATGCTCTTGACACCCTGCTTCTTCCTCAGACTCCCCACTGCTCCTGGCTTCTCTCTGATTAAAATAAGACAGCGTTTCTGTGCCGCTCGGACTCACGGGCATGCTTGTCGGCCAGGGCAATGAGCGTGCTGGAGATGTCCCGCCGTCTGTAGAAACAGACCACCTTGGCTTCCACATTGCCATTCACGGTCTGGAAGAAAGAGTGCGGTCACAGTAAGCTCACATCTGACCGAACAAGGTGTTCCTATGTAGGCATGGGTAAAATCATCTACAGACCATAATCCACCACTGTTATTTTTGGAATATGGATCTTTGGGCTCTCAGGGACTTAATAGTTTATAGGCTTTATTATGCACAATTAAACATGTTTGCAAGTAAAATGCAGTTAAATGTGTGGCCCAATCATATCCTTAGGACTGGATGCCAATCCTTCAAGGGGCAAACCGTAATATTTTAGATTACATGCCATGTTATAATGAGCACCTCTCCCATGACATTGGTCAGCCCTACTTCTGTGTCCTTCACCATCTGGATGACAGCAGGCTACAGCGCATCAGGCTTTCAAATGACACACTAATAAGCCAGCATCTAAGCTGGCCCAACCTGAGGCACAAGAATCAGATTTCCTCATAGGTGTAAAGGGAGAGAAAAGACAGAGGAAACGTCATACGTTTTATCCAATAAAAGCCAGATGATACAAGTGTTCTTGCCCAGAAAATATTGTAAGTTTAATGTGAAATATATAAAAGTTCACCAGTTAAGCTGGTGAAAAAACAGCTCTGGAAATAATTAAGAGACCACTCTATATTTAAAAAAAATAATCTGTATTTTTAAATCCTGGTTTAATCCTGGTTCTGCTGGCAGAAGGCTACACTGCAAGGCATAAAGACATACCCATAAACTGAGTATTGGGTGAAACTGAAAATTTTGCTGTCAATTTTCTCCATAGCTGTATATGCAATACAAAGACCCCAATGATTTGACATTAACAAAAATATTTTACAGAAAATTCCATGTCAGTAATAAAAAAAAAAATGATTTTAACTTTGCCCTTGACAAGTAATCTTTCAGACAAGACACAGTGCCAAGTTAATATACCTTCACTTACCTTGTTCAGTTCCTCTATCCTCCTGATCAAGAAAGGGTTACTGGAGGAATTTTCAAAGAAAACGTAATCTGTAAGATGAAAAAGATGACATGAAAAAAATACTTCAGATTATAGTGCCAAAGCTAATTAGGAATGGTTCATCTAATAGGAATTAAAATACAGACAAATATGGTCCTGCCAAACCTCCAATAGAAGTTTAAGAGCAAGGAGACCTTTCCTCCAATCATGTGCACAAGACCTTTGTCACTGAAGCTCTTTTGCATACACAGAGCGCAGACCCCACCCGTTGTAGGTCACAGAGATCACTTCTCGTGACATGTACATATGTACAACACTGAGGTTGAAGTACAGCATATGTGACTGCATAGTGTCTAAAACACATGCAGCCTGTACTTCACAGAACCCAAATCATTCAAATACCCTGCCTGCATTGATTTAACTATGTAGTGACACCACACCAACCAGATCTTGCAAAAATGACATGATTAACATAATTTTTCCTGAGCTGATCAAGAGTGCATTTTTTAAAAAATGAATATAGTAAAACAACCTTGAGAAAGATCATTTAACTCTTCCAAGCTGCTTTGTAATTGTACCCCAAGGTAGAAAACCCTTTTACTGAAAATATCAGAATCAGGAGATAGAAAAGTTTAAAGAAAATATTTATCAACCTTCCCTCTAAGTTTACACAATTTACTTGTGACAGTACACAGCTGTTTTCCTGGTCTAATTTCTAATAAATATGAAAGACCTTTGGGGGAAAAATGATTTTAAGACCTTAAGACAATTAAGACAAGATGAAATACAGAATCTTATTGCTATACGCCCAAATGGCTAGTTTACATAAATACATCTATGCACATCAAAGATTTATCTACCTCTAATATGTGAATCATGTACAGATGCTGATGTTTTATAAAGTAGTCTACAGAGGGTACTTCAAATCAGAAATGCATAAAGACCTCCACTACATGAGCAGTTGAACCTAGAGTCAAACAGCAAGGCATTGTGGGTGTTCTGACACACAGATGCCCACAAACATGTATGGGACCTTGTCACCAATATTAGAATACGGAGCGCAGGACAAAGAGCACACAAAGACACAAAGACCCATGAGACCTGCCCCTTCAAGCAAAAGGTTCATTACAAAGATCATTTAAACTGATATGAAGTCCAAGTACAATCTCAGACTCCAGTATCACAGCATCTTTCTGTACAAGTCCCTAGAATTGCTAAAAAGGTACCTTAAGAAACTATCACTGCGTAGAACCCTATTAACTAATTGTAAGTAGGATAGAAGTTAATCACGTGAATTCTCAAAACTATGGGTTACTAGCAATAAAATAAAAATGTGGAAATTTGTAGCAAAACGAGAACGCCCTGTCGTATGCCTAAAACCAACATACAATGCATATAAAATACAGTTAAAACATAAAAATACATATTTTAACTTATTAAAAACAGTACAAAATATTTTATAATTCTACACTGTAAAATATCTCCAGATTAAAATCAGTAACAGTAACTTCGCCGGACTTCTCGCATTAATCACGGCGACATGAGCCACAGTCCAGGCCGTCCGGCGATTTGCAGACAGGGCTCTCGGTTTACCCCGGTTCCCCGTTAGTGTGTGTGGGTGGGTGGGGGTCTGTCTCGGCATGATAAAGGTCCGCTAACGGAGCCACCGGGACTAACTACAACTTCCCGGGTCCCAGCCGACAGCTACAAACTCCAAGTAAAGCCGCTAAGTGCGACTATCGGTCGACATAAACCCGGAAAAAGCAGCCTCTGTGTCGCTTTAGCCAGAACCCCCTCCGTCCGGGAGCGGGGCATCGGTGCGGGACCCTCGACGAGGAGCAGACGCCACATCGGTCTGCGGCCAACTTTACCGCCCCCAAGTCTCGCTACGGCGACTTTCCCCCTCCCGGTCAAAGGATATGAACTCAGAAGTTGCCGGAGCGCAGTTCGGCGTCGAGCCGCTACGTCCACCGACCGATAAGCGAGAGAAACCACTCCAGAGACCCACATGTTCTTCATCATACTGGCGTTCGCCAGTGCCACCGACAACACCGTCCTCATCCTCCTCCTCGGCGGCGGCTAAGCGACCGCCGCGCGCTAGCGGGTGGCACAAAGCGGCGGCAGGCGGCGCGGAGGACTCGCGAGCAGACGGTTCCCACCTCCGACCCGGTACATGTTTGCTGCCATGACGGCCCCGGGTCCTGGCTCTGTGCAGGGACGGCGAGAGATCGCTGACGCCTCCGCCGTCGTTACTACTAGCTACCGCTATTCTGTTTTGGAAAATGGTGGATTCGTTAATACCAAGTGCGCCAGACGCGGGAGCTTAAAGGGATAGTACACATTTAGAGACGGATCCTCCCGAATAACGGGGATGCAGGGGGGTGTCTACGGTGAAATTCACACACGTTTCAGTATAGAGATTTTTTTTGTCCCTTCGTGGCGTGGTTTTAAATGCAGCAACGATGTACTCTTCTCCCAGGGGTTACCGTGTGCGAAACCTGATTTAGCAGAGCGGGGTGCAGCTTTGAACCCGCAACCCTGAAACTGTGCAGGCGGGGCTGACCGTCCACAGTCCCGCCCCCTGTTTTAGTGCAAACCATGAGGACTTCGGCTGTAAACTTTTACATTTCTTTCGAAGGAACCCGAGAGATATATATATATATATTCTGTTTTACATCCAGTGGTGAACCCTGATGTATGCTATGCCATTCGTCAAATAGTAATGGCTTTCACCATTTCCACTGCAAATATAAAACTTAATTCCGTGACTTTCCTAGAATTCATAGTAAAGAACTGAGAAGTCTCGGGGCGCCACTTGTGTGTGCAATGGGGAATTAGCTCAAATGGTAGAGCGCTCGCTTAGCATGCGAGAGGTAGCGGGATCGATGCCCGCATTCTCCAAGCTTTTAACATCTTATTATGGGATCAATATAGTGTATTATATTTGCATTTAGATGAGCCTTGACTAAACATCCCTGCGATTTATGTCGTAGAATCCATTATTTTACACTATTGTAAATGTACTCTTAGATGCACACGTTACATTATTTATTAATGTTAAATCAATGTAACAGTGATGATTTTAATTTCAAATTTTTATCAAAACCCGATTTAAATTCTGAATCAATCTAACGTCGCTCTGCACCAAGGGTTCTCATAAGTGCGACTTTTTAAATTGATAATTTCGTCTATAGTCCATTGTCTTTCAATAGCACAATAATTTCACCACCAGAGGTCGCTAATAGGGCACATTAACTGACAAACAATGCGATCTGTTACTCTACCTCGTTTTCACAGAAACCAGCAGGGCTTGGTGAAAAATATTTTAGGTGGGGATATTTGTGCCATATTCAGTCAGTTTCAGTAACCATCCCAATACAGTTTAACAGAACCTGCAAAATACCAGTGCATTGTCAAATAATAATAATTTAATTGGCATCAAAATCAACAGATTAATAAAAAAAAATGCGGCTGGCAAATTGTCTAAGTATTTAGATATTCGACCTGGAAACATATAGTAAAGGCAATTCTTATCCTTCCAAGTTAGGCAAACCAGCCACCTTGTGTGACAGAGGCAACATTAACTGGGCAACAACAGCGAACTTGGGACACAGTAGTCTGTCAGCATCACGGACATCAAGACAGGAAAGCAAAAAGATACAACCGAGACAGTCCTTTTAGCTAAATGAAAACCACACATCCAGGGATAAAATAAATCGATCAGCAATTTACCTTGAGTCACTTTCTTTTGCTTCACTGTTACCCACAACATTTGAAAAATCAGATAATTAACGATATGCTCAATAACGGAGAGCGGGCAGCTCACAACCATTTTGCTTTCAAAGTGTGGGGGTCATATCCAATAATATCCGTTCTCTCTTTTTATCGTTTCTTTAATTTTTTTCTCTTTTGCTTTTTAATAATGTTTTATATTATGTTATTTCATATCACTTTATGCAGTGTACTGAATAAAAGACCGGTCTTGCTAACTTGCCTTGCAGGAGCGAACTTGAGGAGCATTGAATCATGGGAGTGGTCTCGTTTGGCAAGGGTGCAACCAATGTATCCTTGACATTTTGGGTGGAACAAGAATGAGATCCGGGGATTTTTACCGCATTCATACTATCTGTTCTTCAGTACAGGGGGTCCTCGGGTTACGACAGTACAGGGGGTCCTCGGGTTATGACAGTGACGTAACCCGAATAATGGTGCAAGTCGAAACACACCCTTTTTCTGATCTCTTTAAAATGTCTAATTTCACTTCCATCGTGATGGCTTTCCTCTTCACAATCAGAACACTTGCGCTTTTAGCAGTCCAAAATGGCGTAGGTAAGCGTAATGAGGGACGTCAACTCCCTCACTCATACGCCGTGTTACTGCATATTTTTCTGCCACGCGCAACCAAACTAGTTCGCCCACATAGTCCGTAAGTACGACACTAACGGCGTAAGCCGAAACACTCACGTCTTAAGTTTTTATGGGAGTGAGCGTTGTAAACTTGAAACGTTGTGTCGAGGCGTTGTAACCAAGGACCCCGGTTATTGGAACTGGTCTTCAGTAATGGATGATGATGAAAAATGGGTACACGAGAACACAAGTACAGTCAAATATTGAGGGTAAATCTCAATACAACGCAAAGACCGTACTTGTGGTCTTACTAACTTACCTTCAAAGAAAGAACTTGGGGTACAATGAATCATGGGACTGAACTCGTTTGGTGAGCATGCAGCCAACGTATTCTTGATATCTGGGGTGGAGCAAGACCAGCATCTGGGTTTTGTTTTTTGTACTTGTGTTCTTAGTATTGGAACTGGTTTTTGGCGATGGAAGATGATGTAAAACAATTACACAAGTACGGTCAGATACGCATATGGAGATTCACCCTGAGAAGCACCCATGGTTGCACCAAGATGGCGGCGCAAGGCAATTACACAATACTACTGCAACCCTCTCAATGCGTTCCTAGTGGTCAGGGGCCCCCAGCAAATACCAGGGGTGTTTCTCAATACCAAGAACGTAATGATCGTACTTATGGTCTTGGCAAGCTCAGTCTTTCTAACTTGTCTTCCAACAACAAACTTGGAGCGCAGTGAGTCATGGGATTGGTCTCATTCAGCGAAGATGCAACAATGTATCCTTCATATCTGGGATAAGGCAAGAACAACATCAGGAGATTTTTACCATACTCTGTACTTCTGTTCTTGAGTATTGGAACTGGTCTTCAGCAATGGAAAATGACATAAATCAGGTACATGAGAACACAAGTATGGAAAACTATGCATATTGAAAAACACCTAAGGTTACCCTGGGCCACGCAAAAGCCCAGGACTCTGCTTTTGGTGGTAATTGAATCACCCTCTAGGCATCTGATTTGAGGACCCTGATTGGCAAAATTTATGTTGCTATGTGCACATTTTGTTGTAGCACAATGTTTTGTGTCAACACTGACAGTGCATATTTTTTAGCTCCCCAGACAAGATATTGAGAGTATGAACATGAAGCTAATTTCACCCCAAAATGATCTTTTATCTATCCATCACTGTAACCACTTAATCCCAACCAGGGTCAGCGGAGCCTATCCCAGGAGCAACAGGCACAGGCAGGAACCAACACACCAGGCCAACTTAGAGTCACCAATTAACCTACCACACACACGTTTGGACTGTGGGAGGAAACTGGAGCCCCCAGCGGAAACTCCACACAGAAAGGTCCTACACCCGACCCAGGGACCGGACCCAGGACCTTCTTGCTGTGAAGCAGCAGCGCTAACCACTGCGCCACCTCGCATTTATATTTTATATATTACACAATAGTGTGTATTTTAAATGTACACATACTTAAAATAAGTAATTATTGTTCATTAAAATCAAAAACCCTTTCCACCAGGGAAGGAGGTGGCAAGTGCCCCATATTGCTGTTCACCAAAGCCTAGCCCTAGATCTGACCTTGTGTCAAGTTTGATTCTATTTTCTCTTGAAACTTTCCTATGTTTTACAGGGCATGATTGTGTGTCAATTCACACAGTATCGGATGAACTGTAAATTGCGTTGCATTTATTTAATTAGCGTCCACATACAAATGAAGCAGATAATACATCACAAGTGTTCAGCCGACTAGGCTAAGTGCAGCTTGGCTAAGCTGCCAATGAATGTCCAGTAACACGTACAAGTTAGCAGTGGAGCAAGAGCAATACAGTTCATGATTTGATACTGCATTGATCTTTCAGCTGTATTTAAATTATGTTGCCCAATTCTGTTTTACACTAAGTCTTACTGTTTACACACCCCATATTTTATCAAATTAATAACCAACTTAAAAGTGTCTTCACTGAATATGTTTCAGCCTTGATCGAGTAATCAGCTCATCCTTTAATTGCCATTTTCCATAGTTTCGAACCACTGCATTGTATAGTTCATAAGTGATTAGGAAAATAGATCTCTTAAAATAACTTTTACATTGCACTAGGACCATTGTTGCCATTGTTAGCTGGATACGGAGGACCATGGATAGCAGAAACATTGTGTTTGTCTCTCTCACATCACCACACAGCGACCTCTACTGGCAGCTGGGTAACTGCATGGCCGTGGGTAGGATTGAAGGAATAACACTCTCTTCCAAGTGTGTCTCATCACTCAGAGAAGCCTGAAGCCTTTGGAGTAAAAAAGTAGCGGCTAGTTGAGAACACAAGCAGTGGAGATTTTAACTGTTTTTCACCCATCTCAAACTGGCATGGGTGTAATTTCATCTATGATTAAATTAATTCAACGTGACAAACGAAATTGACAAAATACATATTTTAAAAAGTAGAGTTAGTTCATTCATGGATTCTTGTCACATCAAAGCTGATGTGAGCACAAATAATCCTCTGCTCTCATTTGAAAAGGAAAGATTTTTCATTTTATACTTACACGAGTAGACAGTCAGACTTGCGTTAACCCGGTGGATGGAGCATTTCTAGTACTGTATTTCTATCGTTAGATTTGCATTCTTATATTTTTTACTTCTCCTCTAGACCTCAAAGTTTTGCAAAATCTGGGATTTTAGCCAGAATACCCTAATCGTCTGGTAACTTAGTCATATTTCATATTTTGTTACTTCTGATGATGATGACGGTTGTTTTGGATGGATTACTTATGTCACCATTAAATGTTTTTCATTCGAACTTATTTTTAATTATTATATGTACAGTATCTGTGTCGCTGACCAACACTTTTCATGTACAGTCATCCAGCCTGTAATGTACAATGATGTCTCTTTGTTGACTTCTTGGTTGAGTACTAATAGTGTAGTACAAACATCAGAAAAATGCAGTTGACACTGCCTGTAAAATACGTTAAATCAGGTAACTAATGGTGTATTTTCAAGAGCATTGGAATATGAACTATGAGCCAACATGGCACACACAGGCCTTATTTATGAATAGCTTTTAGTTTGTTCAAGCCCATGGGTCCCTGTGGGACTGCATTGTAAAACCGTACAGCTGTGCTAGGAAGTAGAAAAGCGAACAGCTGGTTCATCATGCCTATAGCTATGTGCATTAATACCCTACATTTAATGGAAAAACCCCTCTGTACACATACACTCATATAAGATGCTGAAGGCCATATAATATAAAATATTTAATTTTTAATTTTAATGTATAATAATTGTAATATATATGTTATCCGCATTAACTCATGTATAGGATACATGTAAGGATGTGGATATGGTAATTGTCGTTACAGATAATGCCAAAAGTCATAGACTGTTTCTCTTTTGTACAGCAGTTTATTCTGATTAAAACAAGAACAAACACTGCAACCTGCCATTGTTTCCCGTGTCTATGGGTTGTCTGCCACCTGCACTCAGTCACCATTATTATATTCTACCTACATTAATATTGTGCTGGGGGCAGCCTTGGAATTCTCACAACACATGGTCAATCACAAAAAAGCATAACAATAAAGCAAAATAGCCCCTAGCAGCCTTTGTTAAGGCCTTTGTTTCATGCCCATAATTCTCCAATGCTAAAAAAGTAATTTTTCATGTAAGTAAGTGCATCTTTTTTTAATTTGGGGAATTAATAACCAAAGGCTATCCTTTGGGATCTCTGCTATAGTAATAACAGAGGGTTATGTAACACTGATGTGACACTGTACAGAATCCAGTCAGAATGACTCTAGCATCAATAGGCTCATTAATATCCATCCCAGTCCCCCACTGACCCCCACCCTCTATTTTTCCATAACTTCTTTTTCCACTGAAGGGTAGCCGTCAGCTAATATTGAATACATAGTTGTGGAAGATGGATGGATGGATGAATGGATGGATGATGGTCTAATCGATGGATGATTCACACTATGCAAAAAGGTAGATGGGCGCCCTTTAAAACTGGTACTTTCAAATCTTTTCTGTCTTGATTTTGTAGGAATTGTTTATATTGCTCATTAAATTCTGTTTTCTGGTTAAAAAAAGAATTATAAATTTGATAAATTATACATCATATAAAATTATTCATTTTCAGGTGTTCTTAGTGTAATTATCATGCACTATGTAAGTTAGAAAGAAACACACATATGTTAGGTGATCACATTCAAATACAAATCTCCACTGTTAACCAGTCTTTGTATTATTGAGGTAGTTACCTCTGAAGATTGGGTATTTCCCCAGCAGAGAATGCTGACATGAATGTTTACCGGACCTGAATTCTGCATGTGATATGTCCATCGGTATCCTGGTACCCTAATGTACATTGTCCTCAGCTTTGTAATCCATTTGAGATTGTAAGAGTGGAATCCTGTCATGTCTGATTAGACAAAAGGGTGGGATAGTGGAGGGGAGGGGGTCAAGCATCTCCAATGTCCCAGCTGATTCACATGTATGAAATCTGAGCCCATGGCAGCCCGAGCCCATCTGGGCCAGCTCTGGGTCTGCTGTATGTGGACAGTGCTGCTGTTCGGCTCAGGCCTGTGCTCATATAGAACGTCATCACTGTATTTCACTGCTTCCACTTGCCTTTCACTGTAAGATCCTGAGATAATGGGGGGAGGGGGTTAACCCCTTAGAGACTATTCCTTCTGAAAATCTCATCATATTGACTAACCCTAACCTTGTTTTCCAAGGTCCCACATAGCATAAATCAGGGTTCCCCAGTTCCGGGCCTGGAGGGCTAGTCTGCAACACAGTTTGAAGATTTCCCTGCTCAAACACACTTTATTCAGCTGACCAGCAAGTTGCCAGATTTAGTAGGTGTGGAGCAGGGAAATCTGTAAACTGTGTTGCAGTCTGGCCCTCCAGGACCGGAAGTTGGATGCAAAGAATTGTCCAGAATGTCTTGATATGCATATCAAGACATGTTAGACAATTCTTTATGGGTATGGGTTGAGGAAGGCCCTTTGATTTCCTGCATGACTGTAACCCAGTGCACAAAGCAAGGTCCATAAAGACATGGTTGGGTGAGTTTGCTTTGGAAGACCTTCACTGGCCCACACAGAGCAGTGACCTCAACTCCATCGAACACCTTTGGGATGAACGTTCAACATCAGTGCCTGACCTGACAAATGCTCTTCTGGTTGAATGGGCAAAAATTCCCAGACACACTCCAAAATCTTGTGGAAAGACTTATCGTAAATGTGGCAGCTGAAATAGCTGCAAAGGGAGGACCAACTCCATATTGATGTCTATTGATTTAGAATGGGATGTCATCAAATTTCCTGTAGGTGTAATAGCCAAGTGTCCTAATGCTTTTCCCATGTAGCGTATGTGAACCCCATTCTGATTTTACAAGCTAATTCCTGGTCAAGATTCTAGCCCAGTTCCTAACAGGTCTACTAAAGCAAGCTGAACTAGTCTTCACTGTCATCACTCCTATGTTGATTATTATAGCAGAGGAAGGAGATCTTTTATATGCCTGATAAGCCAAAACATATTTAAAAGATATTTCAGTCTTATTCTCAGCCTTGTATCTCTGATGCAGCTTTTATTTTAGCTTAAATAGCCAAAGTTAATATCATGACAATTTACACAGCAGCCTTATTCTAAATGCATAACATCACTTTAAGGACATGCAATGTTCAGAAAGTGGCAATGGTCACATAGATGTTGAATGCGAGATTTGCCATTAAGAACTACATTTGAAGGACACTTCTTTGAAAGTGAAGGCACAAACGGGTCAAAATAAATATTCACCCGAGTAGAAACAAAATATGCCTTTTTCTTTTAAGGATTTTTGAGGAGTCATGTAACTTTGACTGTGAGTTTTCAGTTAATTTGTTTACACGGCTACTAAAACAATAACAAGAATGTAAAAAAATGCAAAGCATTTTTGAAATTTATGAGTTTAAATTACAGGATTCTGCATACAAACATTAATAATAGCATATGCAAACATCTGTTTAACATTTAAGACATTTTGGCATTTTTAACAAAATATATTAATTGTAGTATTATCTTAATATGTTTTGTTCCAGTTTTGCAAACCGTTTTACGCTAGTTCTTCAAAATCAATGTTTATATTTCCTAGGCGAAATCCCATACTAATTTCCTTACATATCATTCGTCAGCTGTAAATAAAGCCAACTCGAGTTTCCCTCGCCATACATGTAAACCTACATCTCTTTATAACCAGTGAAGGGGGGCCATTGTGAATTTTCTCCTTACTTCCTCAGCTCTGGAGGGCCTCAATTTTAGGAAGGGTCCTCAGTGTCAACGGCCAGTTTTATCCGCCTCTCCACCCTTGTTAATTAACAGAGCTAAATCAAAGGCTGAAATAAATAAGATCGGCAGACTGTCCTACTGACAAAAGGCCAGCATGGGAGGGGCTATGCAAACAGGGAGCTCTGCTGTGCAATGATGCTCCCAGTAGTAGGAAAGGAGCGCTTACAGCACGGAGAAGGGAATACGCCGGGAATCACTGGAGTCCAATCTTCACAATACCGACTCCATTCCATGAAATAATATGGCATCGACGTGTCCGAAGTGCGACAAAACCGTCTATTTCGGTAGGTCAAATTTCCGCCACGGTTCTACATCAATTACAAAAGCGATTAACGAAGGTAAGAAATATGCAAAATTCTACAAATTTTTTTAGAATCTGCGTGAAATAATATGGCACACCATACTAGTACTTAGCAGTACTACCAATATTTCCAGCATTGTAGCAATAAAAATCTGATACAATAGAAGTCGTTTAAACTGAGCTATATCTTCTGGTAAAATTATAGGCATAAGATTAGGCAGGCTATTAATATCTGCAACGAGATGGTTAATAAAAAATACGTGGGCTATATTTAGGTAAGTACAGCCATGCGTAAGGAAATGGTATCCTACTCCAAAACGTGCATCTATTTGGCATAAATCGAGCAGGGCGGTGTTGATTGTTTCTGTTAATACATTTGAATTTGCAGGGAAATGTATCAAACGCAATAAAATGAGCGGAAGGGTACCCCGTTAATTATGCTTTGATGGAGCCTGGGGAGTGGGCTGCGCTGCCAGGCTGACGGCGGCTTTGCGGGCTGACCGGCTGCCTCTCGCCGACATATTTTTAAAGGCATCCGTTCCATATCCCTCCGTATCTTTGTTATTTGCTATTATGATAGTATTTAAATTCTCAACTACCATAAATATTACCTTTTCATTTTAAATATCACTAAATAAATGAATAAATATGTATGATACCACGAGTCATTCTGGAGTACTGTTATCTGTAGCCTATTAGCCTATTCACATGATATATGGGTTATTAATTAATTGTAAAAACCTATTAAAACATAGTATAATAAGGAATTTTCATTACTGTGGATGGCTGCATTAGCCCTTATGAGTGATCTCGAAAGTGGTGGACTGACCTAAAAGTTGCCCTCAAATACGAACTGTAATCCATTTAATGAAATCAATCTTCTGGGAGCTTCAGAAGACACGATGCTCCCGTGTTAGCATTCTTGCTAGCCCAAAGAAATTTTAGCCATTTTTGCATTCTTTTCCTGAAGTGCATATAATTTTTGAATACAATGACTTGTAATTTTAAGCTATTCCATACTTCAATGAATCAAAATGGTGTTTAGACAATCGTTCTATAGCCTAAAGGTTTAACCTAACAAAGAAAAAGACATTTTGTAAAATACACCATCAAGCTTCTGGAAATGTGTGTTTTGTATATTAATTTGTTATGAAATTAAAATCTTATGTTCGAACTTGCCATTTAGCAAATATTTGGCAGCCTTTCTTTTAATTTTATTTGTGTAGAGTTACATAACTAGTTGCCCAAAATATATTCAAACTAGAGATTAACCCTAATAGCCTTATTTATATTTATTATTAGTCAAAAATGACGTACCTTTAATTCAGAACCAACTACTATGGACAGCTCTTAGAAAACGGGACCGGGCAAGGTTTGTACCTCATATTACTTTTACCTCATTCCCAAGTACCTATCGTTGCAGCCGCGAGCCCAGAGTCAAGTGGGAGGGGCAATGTCGAGTAGGAGGGGTTAATCACGAGGTGGAGGAGGGGTTTATGGTCAGGGTTGAGGTAGGGTTATCAGTTATAAACCCCTCCCACATTGCCCCTCCCACTCGACATTCAGCTCCAGCAGAGCTGTATACGCCTCTCCCGCATCTGGGGGTCCCCAAGACTTACTGCAGATAGCCAAAACCGCGGATAACAGCTAACCATCCTCAGACCCCAAATATAACGTGATTTTCGTATAGCCTACATATATATGTTAATGTGTAATTGATAAATTACTCACCGTAAGACATTACCAACATTAAATCCGGTGATAATAAACTAAATTTTACATTATTATACAGTACTGTACTCTCATGAATGAAAGATATTCTGACTTTTTAGCCGAATTCTGAAGAAATGACATAGCAAAAAATATCATGCAGCTATCAAGGTATGATGGAACAATGGATATTATGCTTATTATACCCCCTAAAGGAGGAGAGAACAATGAAAAACATAAACTATTGTCGCACATTTTTTAAATATTGTATCATGTACTTGTACATAATAGGGGTGGGGGGGGGAATCGATTCTGTTACAAATTGTGATTCTTCAAGGTGACGATTTTAATATTGAGTAAAATTAGATTTCTGAACATCAGTTTAAATATGGGTTACTGAAATTGTGTTGTTCACATTTGGTATGGCTAATATATTTGTCCAGTTGCACACAGGACAATTTTGTTAAGGAACAAACATTCACTAGTTTAGCATGGTGCTGCTTGTTGTAAGTGTGTACAGAGACGTTTCCTGCACAATTTCATTTTAAAACAGCAACTAATCGCAAGCGTGCGAAATGTAAACTTTAACTGAATATCTCTATACCTCTTCCTTGAACACTAAAAACAGTTTCTAAACAAACTGAACTATTTACACCTTCTTTAAACTGCCCCCTTCGGATTCCACCTCACCCTGTGTCGTCCGCTTTCATTGGCTGTACCTCATCGCCGCACTCATTGGCTGTACCTCATCGCCGCACTCATTGGCTGTACCTCATCGCCGCACTCATTGGCTGTACCTCATCGCCG